ATTATATTGTAGTTAAGTGTTAAATTTTGAAATTTTAAGGTTAATAGAGATGAATCTTTTTTAATAACATGGGTCTCTCCTACCTTAACATACATACCAAGTTTCATTAACATCGGTTGGAAAAGTGTAAAGATAAATATTTGTATGTAAAAAATACAAAATGGCGGATATCTGGTTAACGAAACGATTTTGGAAAAAATGTTACGGTATCCTTCATTTTCTGTTTATTTTGACCCAAGGAATTACTAGGTAAAATATCTCCCCGCTTATTTTTAACACCCTGTTTATGATGTATTCTTATTAATATAAGTGAAAAGTGTAAGCTGGTAATACAGAAAGATGTTTTATAAATAATATGAATGAACTGGTGATTTGTATATTCATATTTTTCTTGTCCTTAGAACTGTAAATTAAAAGTCCACTCAGCAGTCCCATCGTACGATGTAGTTCTTTCCATGCGTTGCGAAATGCTAAATTTGCCGTCCTCTTCAACCCAAGTTATCTATTGAACCACTGATTGTAAAAAATTTAAAAAATATATATTTTACGCATCACACTTTTAGCTACAACTTTGCCACAGACAAAACCTCTCTAACCCAAAAACAAAAAAAAATCTCGCATGCTAACTTTTTCATGTTAGAAATCACGATTTAAAACTATTTCACCATACATTTTTCAATTTTTATTAATTAGATCGGTAAATAGTTTAAAGTTCCAACAAAATAGTCATTGAGTAGGACTAACCAAGAAGCTCTGTGCCAAATTTCAAAATTTTAGCACAACTTTAAGTACACCAAAACACGAAATTATTGAAGTCATGCGTCGAGAGGACTATCGTTGTTTTTAACAGATTATACTTTTGACCTTCCGGCACTGTTGACTCAGCGAAACTGAACTTATATTTTATCTTATTTCGTTATATTAAAACTGCTGTTGCATTAGGTCAAATTCCCAATAAGTCAATTGCTTTAACATAGACTACGTTTTTAGTCCGGACTGTACTATTTGACTTACTGGGATTTTTGATCTACAGACACTGCAAACATTGTAGTTTTTGACCTAGCGGCACATGTATAAATTATTTGACCTTCCGGGACTGTTGACTTTCTGCAACGCGTCCGACGGATTAGGACACCCCATGGAAACCCTTGAGGCCTCCTAATCCCTCAGGTGCCACGGCTGTCTGAACGCACTATAGTGTATCTATGGTACCGTACACACCATCTTTTAAAACCTTGCAAGTGACTCTCGAGTCTCGAAGAATATTTTGAATTCTTCTCTCCAAACCGGTGCTATTTTCCCAGCCTATCTAAACCAAACTGAACATTTTATTTGTGTATGTATAGGCAAATATCTGAGGAAACGTGTTTGATTTGTAATAACATCCACGCTGGGAATTTGCTCATTTGCATCTTCGTCATAAAAAAAAATAGTTAAAATGTTTTCCTCCAAATTCGTACACCTCTTTTAGCCTAACCTAACTAAACCTTAAAAATGAGTTGAATGTCAGATTGTAGTAAATCAACCTATATGTATGTACACATCTGATACGTATCCGCAAGATTGTAAAGTAAGCCTATTAATCCTCCCTGGCAATTGATATATTTTAGTATACTGGTAATAAAAAACCTCGCACTTAGCCTTTTTTCATCAAATTGGCACGTTTCTCCATAACCAAACCATTAAATATCTACTCATAGGCATCTTAAACATAGCCGAAATTCAGGAATATCAAACTGAAGTGTATTTTTATCAATCCACACTTATTTTAACTCTGTGGGATTTCCCTCCAAATTAGTCCGTTTTCCCTCCAAACACGTCCCGCCGCGGTACAAGATAACGTCTGATACAGGACGGCATGCTGTGATATGTGGAGAGATGTAGAAGGGGGGAGCGTTGTCATGGCAATGACCTTTCAAGGTGCGAGAGGGGATTGTTGTTGTAGTTGACATGGTTCAAAACACGACAGACGCATTTGTTCGATGTATAGCGATCAAAATCGCCACAGCCTTCTATATTTCGCCACTTCACAGTGTGGACTACACTATAAGATGTGTACAGGGGTTGGCTTAATGTAAGAACAGTCGTTATATTGTTATGTATGGGATCAGCTGTTGACATTGTTGTACTTTGTGAAATTGTTTTGATGAGATGAAGAATCTTTCGCAAAAGCATTTAAAAGTATACTAGGCCTACAGTCGGTATTTTGTAACCTGTTTTTATCATTCGTTTACTGCTGTGGGTAGACAGGTTAATGTCTGACCGCTAATCCATATATAGATTGTGTATAGATAGCTATTAATTTCGTGTGGTTTCCAAATGAAACTCACAATTCATAATAAATATCATACCTTTACTTTTAAAACAGACTTGCCCGTTGTAATCAAAACACTGCCCTCCCGTCGTAACGTCACAAAAGAAGTTGTGTAGTGTATACACATTTAGAATAAAATCGATTTACTGACTTCTATTGAGCACAATGACAATGTTTTGCAATTAGCAGAGACAATGCTTTGCTATTTAATTTTGAGTATAGTTTACATATTTTGTATGACCCAAAATTAGAACCTAAACTAAACAAAAACCACTTGGAAACATTGCATCTGTTAACCAAAGACGGATTGTGAAAGAGAACACTAAATCTTAACATTGTGTGTCCGAAATTTGTTTACCCACGGATAAAACAGTAAACACCGCTGACACAGTAGGGGGTGGTGTAATGGAATTAGGAAGACCTACTGTACAGTCGACCTGCATATGGCATTGCAACATCGCCCTGACTGATCCATAGGGGGACCGAGCTTTGCTCAAGGTTTAGTGATACTATCTTACAATATCATACATACATAGCCCTTTATTTAAGTATTTTTGCGCGTGGTGTTGTTGCCTTTGCTGTTCACTCAATATACACTTTGAAAAATGCAGTGTTTTGAATGTTTCGTAATATATTTCTTTTAAATATCTATAAAAACGGTTCTCGTAAATTAATATAATTGACGACCAATGAAAGATCTGGTTATTTAAAGTCCCAGGAGGATATGATTATGGCTTATTAGACATTGAACCCGGGTCATCGAGTACGAGAGCTGTGACGAAATTCCTATTCTTTTGGTGCATTATGCATTAACTAATCTATAACTTGTATACTCAAATTAAGTTTTATATTTTGTCTCAGCTCTAACCTAAAACCACCCCTAACAGGCAGCCAAATCATAATATTCCAACTTGACAAAACGTAACGTCACTTAAAAGGTCCGTATTCTGTGTAGTTTCATTGTTTAGCTTAGTTTACAAAAGTTCAACAGTCAATGCGTTGGATTGCGACAGTACAGTAAGTAGATCAGTTGTGCAGAGAGTATGGTGGACGTGCAATTCTTGTATACCAGGTCGGTGCAGTCAGCAGTACCGAGAAAGGCGACAAGATAGGAACGTGACGTACATCTGATACAAACCAACCACTCTCGGATTGATTTCACCTTTGTTACCTGTGTTTTAGCTTCTACCTTCCATGATCACGGAGGGTTTTATTTTTCTGGAAAACATTATCCGTCTCCAATCGAATTTCGTCAAATGTTTCTAAAAGTTCTAGTGTTGGTATTTTCCCTGAACTGCGATTTTTATGAAAACTTAAACTGTGTAAGATACAAATTATTTATTGGCCGAATAACGGAATAGAATCGTAGACTTGTTCTGGAAATTATAGTGATGAAATAGTAAAATTGTTGATAGCCGTTTTGAAAAGGGTTGAAATTGTGGCTACTGGAGTATTTTTCACACTGATTCAAATTTATCGTTGTTTTGATTTTGTTTACCTTGCCAATTGTGTTAAACCACATCAGAGAAAATTATAACGGTTTTTATTTTGTCTATACTTAAATTGTTCCACTTAAACACCTAATATTAATCACATCTTTGGCTACACGAAACACGATGACGTATACGCACTGTGGCGTAGACGTTGAGTTTTTCTCCGGTGACGTCACTAATAAATCTCGTTTGTCACCTTCCTCTCGCTCACCTATAACCATGCAGAAATGTCGTTTCCGGTGACTCACTCGCGGTCAGCTCCGAAATAACGTTGTATAAACAGTTCTTAAAATACTGAGCTTGCGTCAGTTGCTGCGATTCGCATGGCGAATGGCGATAGCGGGAGTTTAGACAAAATGGCGAAAACAAACACATCATTGTGTTTCGAAGGAAATATAATTCTCGTCATGCTGGAGCAAAAAACGACAGTTTTCAAACATAAGTTACTCTTTGCATAAAGGGAAATCTTGTTGCCCATGTAGCGAAAAAGAATCAGTTGAAATGTAGGACATCAGCACAATTTTTTTTCATTTTAGCCTAAAAGTCGTCCGCTAATTTTAAGGAAAAAATAGTTCTTGATAAAATGTTGAATACAATCCTTTTAAAACTGTGTTTGTGTTTATTATCACATCAAATTATTTGTTTCGTTAAATTATCATCGACAATTTCCCCTTTATCTAATGGAGGCATATTTGATGAATTTGAATTTACAGTAGGTACTACCGTTTCGGCGCACTATGTGCTAGTGTTACTTTTAATTAATGGTAACAACTGTTCGTGTTCAACAGGAAAAAAACCTAATTAATAAATTAGGCCTATGCTTAATTTATAAAGGTAAACAGTATATGAAGTTATCACTTTGTGATTTACAACATAATGGCGCAGTATGAAGAAAATGTAGTTCATCACACAACAGAAGTGTATTTTCAATCCTCACTCATTGTCTAACCCCGGTTCGTTAATCTTGAACTCGTGTCCAAAATTCTTAGTGATGAAATTCCATTCTACTTCAGATTTTTTCTATATTTTTATGCTCATTAAAATTGGCATCAGCTTAATCGGTAAATCGGTTATGCACTATTGTACTTAACTATCAAAAAGACAACACTAAATCGTGATTAAGTTCCAAGAGTCATAAAGTAACACAATACAATTCTAAATTGGTGTATTTGAATTTCAAAAATATATGATATTTGAAAATTACCGTCTTTTGGTTGCAATTTAAAATTTCTTCGCATCAAGGAAGTCCAAAACTCAGGATTCTGATGTTGTAGGAGTATCTTGAGGGGTTTCTTCCTCTTTAGGTTGTCTGTAGAAGGGTAAGTGCCTTGCTATCGCTCCCCATTCAGTTACCCAGCACGTCATGGCGACGGCGACAGCAGCATACACACCAGCCGTCGGCACCCATCTGACGACAATAGTTTGTGTAACTAACACATAAAAGACTAAATGATAAAAGACTACATAAAGTAACAATAACTAGAGAGCTGTCAGGTAATTTTGTTTTTGGGTTGGCAGAGAAATAGTTTCAAAGCCAAAGATCACCTGATGGTAAACCAAACGTCCGTTTTCAGTGTGAATATATCTGTCAAAATACATTTAATATGTTTCAGTGTCTCTGTGTGTCTATATTATAAAAAGTATTAACTACTACAATGATAAAGAGGGTATTTACTTAGCCACTGAGGAATGAGGATGCCTCTGATGGGTAAAACTTCTCCCAGCAAACTCCAAATGGCGATACGGTTGACACAAAAATCACTAATCTATGTACTCTGTTAAAAACATTATTCCTACCCTGCTATTTGATTAGGAAATAAACGATTAGGTAAACAAATGATCACTCAACCGAAACCAAAGTTTAAAATACTCCAGGAATCTTTTATTTAGTGTAAAAATAGTCCAAGGGAAAGTAATGAGAGAATTGCGCTTAAAGGTTCCTGAAATGGAATCAGTAGGGTTAGGAAGTGATCTCAACGAGAAAATACATTGCCTAAAGCTAATTCGTCTGGAGGAGTTCTACAGAATAAATTTAGACATCCGAATGCACCGTGACTATTTCTCCCTTTGCACAGGTTTAGAAAACCTATCGTCGTGATGTCTGCACTCATCCGAATTCCCTCTAGTTCTAGCAACAGAGAACTGGGAGGTCCTAAGTTCGCCTCAATAAAGAAGAATTTCGTAAAACTCTCAAAAAGTCCCGAAAAGCTTATTTTTTCTCCTCAATCTCAACTGACTGCTACCCCAGTGATTAAAAACTCACCTTCCAAACATTTGTCGATGCCTTGGCGCCACAAACCCAGCTCTACTCATGCCAGACGTAGAAGCTTCAACTGCGGTCGTCTTCACTCTCGACAATTCGGAACATTGCGTATCTATTTCCACCTTATTGGTTTTCACCGATTGTTTCATACAGTCGTTTAGTTTCATGTTCCTAGCGTCAATACAAAAGAATTCCGCTTTGAGAGGTTTGTTCAATTGTGGACAGAAGTTTTTCGGAAGTTTACAACTAGGTTTGCTTGCTATGGTACTCTCTTCCACTTGGGGTATGCAAGGTTCCATCGCGAATAATTTTGGTTGTGGCATCTTTATAATAGTGTCTTCCAAAGGCGTTACTTGTTTAAGGCTAAATACGGTGTGTTTTCCTTCGTGCTCACAAAACCCGCTTTTGTTCTTCGGAACATCTGTCTTGTCACATTCAGTAGCAGGTTTTAAAGATGAAGAACAACAGCTATTCTTTGAAGTGGCTTTACATTTAAATACATTCCGTTTCTTGGACACGTCTTCGCAATTGGCTTCTTTAACCGTTTTAGAATTGATTTCATTTAATTTCTCCTTGGGTTTATCTTTGTCGAAAAAGTTCTTACGAGATTCGTGACACTCTATATTATTTTTCTCCTGTACTTTATCTGGGCAAAGCTTTCTTCCGAATGCGTCTCTACCAATTCCGGATGAACTTTCCGGACAGGCTGACTTAGTTTTATTTTTTGTATGTTTGTCAGTTTTCCCCTCTGAGCAGAATGGTGATTGTTTCCCCAATTTGTCAGATAATTCTTTGCACCCCTCATCCATTGTGTTTGTTTTTTGTGAATTTATATCGTGTTGTTGTAATGTTTTAGGAAAATTTAACTTGTGTAATTTTGTATTCTGGTGTCTTGAGCTTGATTGTAGTGTTTGTAAACAAATTATGTTTGCGTCGAAATTTCAATCAAAACAGGTGATAAAACAATCACGTGTTTTATAGTTTTAGTTTTGTTTTTCATAAAATGTTGATCAGTACAAATCACAAAACACTGGAATGAATGTCATAGATAAAACATATGTTTTATCCACAATTACTAGAAAAATACCTATTTTTTAGTATTTTTCTAGTAATCGTGGTTTTATCCATGGTTATGTAGATCGCAAACCAAATAGAAAATGTTTTAAATTATTGACGTGGGCTCCATTGTGTATACTAAGGTATTTATTTTTATTCGCTGTGTACACAATAGAACATTCAAAAAATCGTTATGCCAAATTTAGGTTCTGCTACTGCTGCACTTGTGTCCATGAAATTGAAAATAAAACAAATTTAAGTCCAGGTAAATCAACAATTGATTATTTTAACCGACAAATTACCTTGTGACCGATATATTGTTGCAGAATTGAAAATGGCGTAAATAACTAAGTCAGTTACGTTTTTTGGGATTAATCAATGCAAGAAAAAACCGCGAGAACATGAAAAATCGTTGTGCTACTGTAATTTAAAATTGCTTGGTCATTTTGGGAATCAAATTTTCAACTTGACCTATTAACTTAATCCACGAGTTCTTGGAAATCAAATTCAATGTCGCGTGTCGAGTGCAGCAGCAGCAGGTGGCCCTACAGGAGATGGTCTATTGTAGGAATGGAAGACACGGACAACTCGTCAATGGTTCATTGTCACGCCACAAGGTATCTGTAAACATACAGCGTTTTATGACCACAATTAACTGGCCGTGCGGTTATGTTTGCCGTAAAACCCGAAGCTTTCTGGTTCTAAAACCGTTTCTGCCCGTAACGCCATAGAGAAGACTACATTTTTAACAATCCCGTCGCAAAATAGGTTAGCAAAGTGTCTGCCAATACGTAGACGAAAATAATTTTATATTTCTAGTATGAAATTTGTGCTGAATGAACTTATTTCCTTAACTACTGTCAGTTGGCTACATTATTGCATTTGACGATTGAAAGCAAAATACTGTAATGGGATAATTTTAATGTTCACTTTAGTTCAAAGTAGCCATCCCACGCTGAGGCGGTTGTCTGTTATAAGAATAAACATTATAGAAATAGTTGAACCTCCGATAGAGTAGCCTACTACCCTATGGTACCAAATCCATATGCATCTATATGGAGTAGCATAATTCCTTCAGCAATGCTACTACTGTCAGTTTCTGATTTCCGTGGTTTACACCAACATTTTACCAAGTGGAACTGAAAGGGCAGCCTATTCTGTCTCATAAACTACATCCAGCGTCTAAAACTAAAAGAAACTTATAGAAGCAAACTGTGAGACTGTAAGAGGTTCCAATCTAAAATGTTCAATACAAAATTGGCTACAGCTGGTCAGTATGGATAGAATGTCTACTTCAGTATCCAAATGATAGTGTTATAAATGAAGAAATATATATACATCCTTAAAGCTTCCTCTTACCTGGAAATAAGCTGGGCACGTCTAGACCTCGTCAACAGCCCTACTCTATCTCTCTTCTCCACAATAGTTTGTCCCGAAGACATTGGTGGAGTCTCGATATTTGTTACAGCCTGTTTAACCAATTGTTGACAATATTCTCCAATCTTGCTGTAAGCTGAAGATACACTTTTGTTTGCACCAGCACATTTTATAGTTGTGTTTGAATGTTTCTCTGTTTTACTTCCACCCTTCTGTTTGAATTGTCCGTGCGATTCGTGACATTTTGTTTCTCTTTCTTTTGTTTCATTAACTGTGCACAGAGGTCTTCCAAACTCGTCTTTGCCTGTGGTAGTTGTAGCTGTTCTTGAACTCGACGTAGATTCGTTAATTTTGGTGTTTTCTTTTGCAGATTGTTTGGTTTCTGGAGATTCTGACGTTTCTTTACACATTTTTAGTTTTGAAAAAAAGGTTTCCAATAGAAAGTTTGTGAGTAAATAGCTTTGGAATCTGGTGAAAGATTATTGATCATATGGTTGTTTGCACATGGAGAATAGAAGTACAATTAATTGTAGTATTTAAGAATCTTCAAAGGAAATCGAATTGTGTATAGTATTTTTTTACCATATACATACCCGTGGAATTGTTATCCGGATGAGCGGCTTAAGTCAATTTTATGTTGGTTCCGTCATATAGGGGTGTTTTGTTTACCGTTTGTATATTGTTTTTTAACTTATTTCATAAATAGGTTAGCCAAATTTAAACGATCAAATCCTTTCAAGTTTGACGACCAAACATGAAAGGTTAGCATACAAAATTATCCCAAAATACGAAACATTTTTTTCTACACAAGCGCTAAACGCACACATTAAACACACATAACAAGCTGCCAATTTAAGTGATTAACTTGGGTTAATCGTGTTACTAATGATATAATAGCATAAAAGTAAAATTTCTTCAGTTGGTTTAATAGTTTGCTGAGGTTTTATCATTGGAAGATTGGGTGGTAGCCTATTATATCGAGAACAATATCATCTGCTGCGCACGTTTGTGCCACCTACTGTGTTATTGTTGTTCAAGGTAGGGTCGTTAATGGTTTAATATCTATAATGCAATTGACTCGTAGTTTTTTTTGTCCTACCTTTACACCTAAGGACGCAGGCTGACGCCCTTTTTACACATTACTTCAACTAAAGCCTAGAGGGTTGTGGCATTAGCTTGGATAAAATATATTCGAGATTGGAGGGATTTGAACCCGGGGCCTCGAGTACCGAAGTCTTGTGCTGTACCACTTAGACCTGCTCGCTGCCCCGGGGTTGACTTACCGTAGATCACCTATAAACTCAGATCCAATTTTCCCTCTAGGAGTAGTAAAGTATTGATCATAACGAAACTGTCCCCAGATGCACTTCTCGTTGGAGCGAACTTAACTATCAAAACTTCACCCTATCCCGTATATTGAAGACGTGACCCGCAAAAGACACTGTAGTTTTGCAGCAAGTAGGCTGTGCTACAGTTGTTGAGACAGGAACTGTCGTTGCGCTCTGCAGACTCCTTTGTCTGACGACGACTCACACTCTCGTTCCAACCCTGTAAACATGTAAATTGCCACTACAGTATATAGCAACTTCGACAACTCCACCATACCCTCGCTAATCCCCCCTAGAAATTTTAATGTTTTAGTTTATCTATGCAATACACTTTTTTCGATTCTCTCCAATGTTTCACGTATTCTAACTCTGTGTTTTTCTTGCAGGCGGCGCACCATGGACGGGATGGCTGAAAACATTCAAGTCGTAAGTAGCGACAAAGTGTTCGATGGTGAGCTGTCCCCTACTGACTTGACCTTTAACCTCCCCGTGTCGGACACAAGTCTCCAGGAGCTTATAGACTCTGAACTGGCGCTCAGGATCAGTTCCCGCACGGAAGAACAGGAGGATGCGGACGTCGAGGAGGTTCCGGTGCTTACCACAACTAGAGTCACACCTGTCAAACTCCTTCTAGACCCAGACCCTAGCGATGGTCTAATACAGGCTGAGCGGGTACACACTATGGCCACACTCAACGTGTTCGCCGACACAATAGACTTATCTCCGTCAGAACCTACATCGCCGTTATTCCCTCGGACCCCGGTCGACTCTTCTCCTCAGATAGAGAGTAATCCTTTTGTTCCTCCCGAGGTTGTGTCACCGATAGAGAACAATTATGTTGTAGTTCCCGATGTCGAGTCGCCGCAGATTGAGAACAATCCGTTCGTACCCGATGACGAATCTCCTATCACAGAAGACGCAAGTGATCTTGAACCGATCCCGTTGTTCACACAAACCATCACTTCAGATCATGAAAGTCCTCTAACAGAGTCGAATCCGTTCCTCCAGGAGGAAGTCGTAGAAGACGTGTTGGTTGTTGTAGATCCTCCGGACGATTCTCCTGTGAATTCTTCCGGCATTGCATCCCCTCAAGAGTTTCAGGAGTTTGTCATTGAGGAAATCGAAACACTAGGGTCTGATTCGGTTGCTGTTACCGAAACAGAATTTGAAACGCAGGTAACATTTTCGCAAGTCGATGAGGAACAACTCCTCGATTTTTCCTCTGAGGTTTTGTCAGAAACTCACGATGAATCTGAGAAAATAGTTCCCGAACCTAGGCAATTTCCCGAATTTACTCTAAACGTCGATTCACCGAAACCTTCCGAAACCGAGACGCCCACTTCACCGACTTCTCCCGTTTCCCCGACTTCCCCCGTTGAAATCACCTCGTCACCCGTGGAGATTACCCCGTCACCCTTGGAGATCACCCCATCTTCCGTGGAAATTACCCCGTCTCCCGTGGAGATCACCCCATCTTCCGTGGAAATTACCCCGTCTCCCGTGGAGATTACCCCGTCTAAAGTCGTAATTACCCCGTCTCCCGTTGAAGTTCCCTCGTCAACCCCGAGTGATAGTGATAGTGTAGACTGTGTGAATAACAGCATGCGCGTTGCTAACATAGGTGAAGAATGGACCACAGTAGAGGACGCTGTGAAGGAGGTGCTCAGCTGCGAAGCTGTAGAGGAGTTCAATGTGAGTGACTAACATACACTATACAATGTAGTTAAGTATCGTATCGGTTACAAAGTTGCATTTACTGTGCCATCAAAATTACCAAAAACATATTTTAGATTCACGATAGAAAATTCTAGGTTACATGAATAAAAATCATATTTCAAAAGGCGAAGTTAGGACCACGTGATTATTTTTACTCCCCGTGTAGGTGTTCATATATTAATACAATTTGTACCACCCATAGAAATTTTTTTTCTGTCGTAAATCCCATCATATCTTTAAAACGTTTTATTTGTATTGTTACTCATGCATACAAAATCAAATAATAATTAACAAAACAAAAAAAGTAATATTCCAAATAAATTCGATTAAACAATAAATTAGGTCATACTTTACACAATTAATGAATAATTTTGTTCTGACTTCTTTGTAGAAAAAATAAACGTTGTATTCCATTTTCATGTCAT